AGTGCCAAAAATAATATTTTGTTATATGCACTGATCAGACTATTTAGAGTGGTCAAATTGGTCTATTGGTCTGTGTATCTATACTTTTCGACTAGTTTGATCAGACCAATTCGACCAATAACCAATTGATCAATGATCAGCAAATTTATAGCCGATCATTAGATTTAACAATGCTGATTTTTTAATATAATTTTCTCTATCACTATGCATATTATCTCTTTATAAACTATCGTTACCAATTATTTTTACCTCTAAATATCGTCTTTATCTATACATATTCATTATCTTCATATTTACATATTATTGTTGTTTGCATATTTTTTATGCATATTATGGTTGGCTGGAAATACTCAAAAGAACGTTTACAAAGAAATTCTTTTGTTGCTAAAGTTGTACGTGCAAAAAAAGTAAATTGCATATGTGGAGATATAATAAAACTTAATAGGAAATATGATGAAGATTATATTAATCAGTATGCAAATGGTCCAGGATATAAACAGAAAAAACAAAAAAGTATTTTGTGTTTTTTTAACTCAACAGATAAGGTAGTTGAAGAAGTTGATAATATAAATTCAAATGACGATTGGAATGATTAGGAAAGCGAAGTAGAAGATGTAATGGATGATGATGATATTATTACAGTAAATGAAAATAAGGATGAAATTAATAGAGAAGAAAATGCTAACATAGAGATTATTAATCTAGTAACTAACCAAACTGGTAGAAAAAGGAAGCCATGCTTAGGATTATGTTCAGAATTGATTAAACAATATGTTGATAGAACACTAGCATGTTATGGTGGAGCTCGCCGTGTTGAAGTAATTGCTAAAGAAATGTATTCTGGAAAATTTCCTTACAAGTTTACAAGAAAAAAACTTAAACCATTTCAGAAACATACATTAAATCGAAAAATTTATGTAGAATCTCAATGGCGTGTTAATAAAGATTGTAAGTATTTATTTATATTAGTTTTTTTTTTTTTTTTTTTATCGATTATTAATAACAAATATTATTAATAGGTGTTAGTGTACGTGCTAAAAAATGTACAGGATATTCTGAATCAGGAAAACTGATTTGTGATGAATGTTTAACCTTAAAACATAATTCTATATTAGCAAATCGTCTTGCTATTCCAAAACAAGCACCAGAAAATCTTAAATTTACACCAAAATTTTATTTTGAGAATAATTCCTTAAAAAAGCATTTGCAAAATCAAGATCTTTGTGAAATTTGGTCTGTTATTAAAGATAATTATGATACAAATATATGGATTACATTAGCAAATAAAGCAAATAATGATGCATTTAAAGACAAACCTGTATTTACAGGACTTTGTGAAGTAATGATTCAAGCTGCAATTCGTAAAGATAATAATAAAGGCAAACAAAATATTCGATATAATGAAGATTTTACAAACTTTCTTGTAATATTAGGAAGTTTCAGCACTCGGGCTCTTGATCTTTTTCGTTAAAATTTGGAAGGATGTACAATACAAAATATTCAGTATTTTTTTTTATTTAATATTTATTTAATTAAAATCTTCAATATTATTTTTTAAGATAACTAATATTTTTTATAAAAATTAGTAAACTTCGAACTAATGATGAAGATGCCCTTACAAATCCTGACTTATCATTTGAAAATGTTGCCAAATTTAAAAGGCTAATTGATACATTAAATTACTAGAGACCTATTGTTGCTATGTCTGATAATACCAAGTTGAAGCCTGCTCTTCGTTATAACTCTGTTTTGGGCTGTATTATCAGATCAATACTACCTATTGAACAAACTAAAATTAATACATATGAGGATATTCAACCAATTATTAATAATATTAAAATGAAAAAAGCAGTTGCAAAAGATGTGCATGCTTATATATTACAGGTAATTTATTTATTAGCCTTTATAATCATATAATATAAATAGTAATATTTACTATTTAATTATTAGATACCATTGTTAAACTTTCCTTCAGTAGTTATTGCATTAATTGCCAATAACAGATCTGATAATGTATCAACTATAACTGGCTTTCATCAAGAATTATTAACTCAAATAGCACCACAACTTAATCTTCCAATATTATCAATTAGATCCGATAGTGCTATTGTTAAATTTAAAGCTCAAGTTGCAATTAAAATGTATTCAACAGATAAACGATTAACTTTCAAAAATGATAAACTCAGAGTTGATTTTAGCTGCCCAATTTTTCCAAATGTAGGACCTGTTATTCGTATACAAGATCTAAGCATGCTAAAAAAACTAGCCGTAATACAATTATGTCTGGTGCTCGTCTTCTTACCCTTGGAAATTCAACTGCACAATTTGAACAGTTATTAAAATTATCAAATCTTTCTAATTCTGTAATGTATCGTTATGATGTAGTAAAGCTTGATCGTCAAGATGATGGTGCCGCATATCATGTATTTTGTTCAGGAAATTTACAAAATTGCTATGAAACATATAATATCGAAGAGAATATGCGAGGACTTTTTGTATATCTTTTTATTATGCGGATAGAAATATATATTTGTTATTATTATTATTGTAAACAATTTTAAGCCAGATTATAAAACTAACGACAAGATGATTATATTTATTTCCGGAACTGCTCATTCGTGAGTAAAAATCATTCGATTTCATAATTTTTTAATGGATAAATTTTATGAATTAATCTAAAATTAAATTACAGAGTCGGTATCTGGTCGCGAAGAGCTCTCATAGACATTTCTGTTATAGTATGTTCAAGAGTTTTTTTTTTTATGAATTTTTTATTCAAATCTTCATTATAAAGGATGGCTCAATGATTAATTATTCAAAATGCGCTTTAGAATTGGGCTATTCTGTCATAATATTAAATCCTAATGAAGTATCTTGGTATAAGGGGAAAGGTGTGATATGTATTATAAAACTAGTAGATTTTACTGAAATACTATCGGGCTCCTTAAGCAAACTTTCTAAACTTAATCTAACGATAAATTTGATAAGCCCAAAAGGTTAGTTAATATCATAAAAAAAATTATTACTTTATTATTAAATTGATAATTATTTTTACATTATACTAATAATCCTATTTTTAATAGTATCATGATTAAAATAATTAAAAATATTACGTGCTTCTTCTGTTAAAGTTAATGAACTATCACCAATTATTACTCCATTTGAGTTAATATGATATATAATATGTTGAGGACAATGATGAGTAAATAGTGTATAACCTTCTATAGTTTGACTTGCAAAAATATTAAGATGAATCGGCAAATATACTTGCAATAAAATATAAGATAAATTTTTAATTTGAGTAACTGCATTTTCGTTATAACAATGATTATCATAATCTTTATAATACATTGCTATTACTTTGGCAATACAGATTTTTGTTTCATATAGCGCAATTACATAATCATCTTGCTGTAATGGAAAATCTTGAGTAATATTTGCTGATTCAATATATTTAACTA